AGATGATCTGTCTGTGTGTATCTGTAGATGATCTGACTGTGTGTGTCTGTAGATGCTCTGACTGTGTGTCTGTAGATGATCTGACCGTGTATGTCTGTAGATGATCTGACTGTGTGTGTCTGTAGTTGACCTGACTGTGTATGTCTGAAGATGATCTGACTGTGTGTGTGTGTGTGTGTGTGTCTGTAGATGATCTGACTGTGTATGTCTGTAGATGATCTGTCTGTGTGTCTGTAGATGATCTGTGTGTGTGTGTGTGTGTGTGTCTGTAGATGATCTGTCTGTGTGTGTCTGTAGATGATCTGACTATGTGTGTCTGTAGATGATCTGACTGTGTGTCTGTAGGTTGTCTGGCTGTATGGTGATAGAGGAAGGCTGTGGTTATTTGTCTTCAGCTCTGAGTTCAAACCCCTCACACCTGAGAGAGATGGATCTGAGTGACAGATGCAGACGCACACTCTAAGATCAAGTCTGTGCGTACACTTGTTTTATAAATGAGGCCCCAGTACACTATATTACACACAGCCATACTGAACTCTATGTGAAGAAACAAAGAAGAGGAACAGGAAATACAACTCATCTAAAGTGAAAGTGACGTGACATTTGGCCAAGTATGGTGACCCATACTCGGAATTAGTGCTCTGCATGTATCCCATCCAAAGTGCACACACACACCGTGAACACACACCCGGAGCAGGAGGGCCGGTGTCCTGCAGAGTTTAGCTCCAACCCTAATCAAACACACCTGAACCAGCTAATCAAGCTCTTACTAGGCATGCTAGAAATTTAAAGGCAGGTGTGTTGAGGCAAGTTGGAGCTAAACTCTGCAGGACACCGGCCCTCCAAGACCGAGTTTGGGCACCCCTGCTCTAACCATTAGGCCACGACTTCATCTAATAAGAAAAAGAGAGAATGAAAATATTTATATTTTTTAAATATAGAATTAAATAGGTGAAATTGACAACCAGGATAACAAGCGCGCAATTATTTATCTTATGCTTTAATCCATACAAAATTTGACATTACATTAATTAGTTTTTCTCCTAGAGTAACCTGAGCTTCAGTGTGTTGATCTTCATGGATCACGCTTCGCAGGGTTCAATCTGTCTCTCTCACATAAGCAAACAGAAATCCTTGTATTTATAAATATTGATTATTGAGATGTTTTTCAGTTATTTGAATGTATTTGAGATTTAGCATTTCATTGTCGAATCTTTAACTTCGTATGAATGAGTCAGATGTGACCACAGCAATCCAGAGTGATTTAGTCATCAATTCCACACAGAAATAGTTCATGTCACTTCATTAAAAGTGAAAGTGCAGAAACTCTTTAAATACAAGACAGACCGAGAGACAGGAAGTACATTGATGATGATGATGTCATCAGTGCAGCAGCTGCAGCGTCGTCGTGGTAACAGCCAATAGGAGCAGCTGCAGACAGACAGGTGACCAGACTCTGGATCCAGCAGCTGCAGAGAGACACACAGATGTTGAGATGTTGAGATGTGAGAACATTTACAGAAGAGGAATGGACTCAGTGGATCAGGAAAAAGTCAGGATTTGACAGAAATGAAGTGCATTCACGACTGATTTCAGCATCTAAAGGATTTGTCTCAGTCTTTTCACTGTTTTCTCTAGCAGTGGTTTTAAATGTTCAAAACTATTTTAAATTAAAGACTTTTCTGTCCTCCAAACTAAAAATTCAATGTCACCATATTTATGTAACGTCTGATGGATAACAAGTGAACAAAATAAAACCAAATACATAAAAAGACAAGAACCATAGAAAACATTTTTGTTACTTAAAATAATTGTTAACTAAAACAAAACAAAACAAAACAAAACATGAAAACCATTTTATTTTAGCAAGCTGCCAAGGCATAATTTCTCATTTTCATTTAGTTTAATGATGTACAAAAATAACAAAAACTAAAATAACAAAAACTATATAGAGATTTAAAAACAACACAGCTAATAAAATGTCAGACACATAACAAAATTAATAACATTTTAACTACAATTTTAATATAAATCTAAATATTAACAAAAATGATAATAGTATAGTAAAAAATAACACTGCTTTATAATGAACGTTGATTTGAACTGAATTTGAAGGCTGAACTGTTCTCAGGACAGAAGTATTTTTCAAAAACGTTTGAAGCAAGTCACGTTTTAAATGTTTATACCACTTATTTATTATAATATTAGTAGTAAAAACAGTGGTTCTGTATTTCTGCCATTTCGTTTTTGCTGTTTTGGTAAATCTTATGTGCTCTACTGTTAGTATTTTGCTATTGCTAGTGTGTGTGTTGATGAACAGTATCATGTATGAGCAATAGCTTTTATTGCAGGCCAGACTTTAGTGGTTTGTTCATTTTCTATAGAGAGATTGATTTCACTGGAGTCTGCACTGTGACAACTAGCCCCGTCTCCCCTCTCCTGCTCTCTCTGAAGCGCAGTGTGTCTCTGGTACCTGTGGTGGTGGCAGTGCCGGTCTGGGCTGACGGTGCTTTAGTGCTGCTGCTAGCTGTAGTGGTGGTGCTGACGGTGGTTTCTGTGACGCTGGAGTTCCTGCCCCCCGTCAGACCGATCTGCAGCGTGTCCAGATCCACCTGCAGCTGAAGCCTGATCCACTCCTGAATCTGTGCTGCGCTTTCATACGTCTTCAGATCGGCCACATTCACACCCAGCAGACTCTTCACCTCAGACACGATCAGCACCTGCACACACACACACAGCAGCGTTATTAAGATTAACAAACGTCCTGCACATGAGGCCGAGCAGACGATGAGCTGAAGTACTGAACAGCAGAGAAACAGCTCAACAGAAGTGTGTGTGACTGCTGATCGTCACCAGTGAAACTGCTTCGGTTTCTCAAATGTGTGTGTATGCATGTCGGTCATGTCACCTTTGTTTCTATAGCACTTTCTACAATACAGATTGCGTCAAAGCAGCTCTACAGAGTCAAACAGGAGAATAATGTGCCGATAACACAAGAGGACAATAACAAACACTCAGTGTTTCAGTTAAAGGCAGTTCATCATAGATTCAGTGATGTATGTGTTTGTATTTTTTTAGTATCACTTATTAACATTAGCAAATGCATTAACTAACATAAACATGCAAAACTTTTGTTGTTACAGTATTTGATTAATCTTCATTAATGTTAGTTAATAAAAATACAACTCTTCATTGTTATTTGATGTTCATTCTGGTCCCTTAAACCATATTAATTAACATATACAACCTCTGATTTTAATAATGTATTAGCAAATACTGAAATTAACATTAGCTGAGTAAGAAATGCTGTAGAAATATTTTTCATGTCAACAAATGGAACCTTATTGTAAAGTGTTACATATAATTACAGTCATAGAATTAACAAATAGCTATATAAGACATTTTAGATTAATAGAAGACAAAAACTCTAAAAGTAATTCATTAAACATTTCTCTTGAAAATGAGACACTAAATAAAATATTGCAGGAGAAAGCCTCTCAGCGTCTCAAATGTGTAACTGTGAATATAAAGTGCATTGATGTGAATGTTTCCTGTTCGTTTAGAGAGATTAACATCAGAAATGAACTCACGTTGATGACACTCTGCTTCAGACTCATGAATGTGAGCACGTCCATATTCACACTGGAGTTCACAAGAGTACGAATAGACGCTGAATCAGCACCGCCTGAAAACACACACACACACACACACACACACACACACAAGTTCAGCCTGACAGCAGCAGTGTGAGTGTTTGTGTGTGTGTGTGAGTGAACGAGTGTGTGTGTGTGTGTGTATGTCTGTGTTTAGTGTGTGTGTGTGTGTGTGTGTCTGTGTTTAGTGTGTGTGTGTGTGTGTGTGTGTGTATGTCTGTGTTTAGTGTGTGTGTGTGTGTGTGTGTCTGTGTTTAGTGTGTGTGTGTGTGTGTGTGTGTGTATGTCGGATGGCGGCGGTGTTTGTACTGCGTGTGTTTGTTGTGTTGAATGCGTTCTGAGCGATACTGAACAGAATCGACTTCTTCTCTGAGCTGCAGCTGGTCAAAGAGAGAGCAGAAGCTCGCCTGCACACACACACACACAAACGAGTGTACAGGTTAAACCTACATTCATCCAATGCTCACTTCCTGAGACGCCTTTAAAGGCCTGTTTGAGGGTCAAGACTTGGTTTTAGGGTTAAGGTTAGGCTCTTGTGATGGTTAAGTTGAAGAGCTGATGTGTTTGTACTCACTCCACGCTGGCGGCCCTGATGTTGTTCAGCACACTGGTGTTCAGCGCACACAGGTTTGTTCCTCCCAGCGCGTTCAGCTCGTTCGTGCCGAGAGCGTTTCCATTCACACTCAGATACTTACTGACCAGCAGCTGGACCTGAGAGAGACACACACATCAGCACACTGAACCAACCCACTTCATGACATCTGGATCTACTTCAGTACACTAAGTATACTTCAGTTTTTAGGTGTACACTAGCGTCTGCGCACACATCACATCATCAGTACTGTACACTCACAGTGAACATGCACAGCCCGATCTTTCCACATTTTATTAGTTTATCCACAAGGTGGCGACAACATTCAGCAAATATCAATAACAGCATTAGGAATGTTGTTCTGTCAGAACATATTTCAATAAATATATTGCTCATTGTTAGTCAATGTCAGTTAATAAATTAACTAATGGGGATTATTGTTACCGGTGCATTTTATAATGTTGACAGTTAGACACACAAAAAAATTACAAAATAAATGTGTAATATGTTTTACAAGAATAATACAAAACAGCTCCCTTATTATTATTGCTCTGAATTAGAATCAGAATTACTTTATTAATATTATCTGTTCTTTCTTCCTCAGTCGTAAGAAAAGTAACCAGAATCAAAATCAGAACAATTGATCTTTATCCCAGCTAACAGGGAACGTTATGAACAAATGTTCTTCCAGTAACGTTAATAGAACATTTGTTTCAGAGTGATCTGGTCTTTAATAATGTTCCTTAAAACATTAGCCCAAAAACATGATTAATACATCATTCATCAAACCTTTTTTTAACTGAAATGTTTGAGTTTGTCAAAAGCTTTTCAAATGTTTAGAACATTCATAGAACATTCAAATGAAACATTCTCATAATGTTTGCAAAATGATAAAACGGAATGTTCCCTTAACGTTCACATAACCAAGAAAAACGTTTTTTAAATATTTTTAAAAACTGGACATTTGGATTTGTGTTGTCATTCTTATTAGCTTATTATATATATTTATAGTTATTTTAGTACTTCAAGGTAAACTAGAAGAAAATGAGAAGTGATGTCATGGCAACTAGCTGAAATAAGTGTATTTTTAATATATATATATATATATATATATATAATATATTAATATATAAAATATTTTATTTTGGTTTCTTTGTTTAATGGGTTTCGTTTAAATTTGTGTTTTAGCTAATGATAAACCCGAGTCATTCATAAATAAAACAGGTCGGATTTCTGTACTAATAAACTGTGATAAAATGTGTTTTGAATACACAATAACCAGGTTTATATATTTATCATCACTAAATCCAATTTGTTTCAATCTCATACATTTAAACACTGAACAGTAAGGTCCCACTAGTTAACATTTGTTAACGCATTCACTAACCATGAGCAATACATTTGTAACTGTTCATTATCAGTTTATATCAGCTCAGGTCTGTTAAATTATATTAACAGATACAAGTTTGATTTTAATAAAAGTTTGTTTTAATACTAGTAAATGTTCAAATGAATATTAAATAAGATCAATAAATGCTTTAGAAGTATTTTTCATAGTTAGTTAATGTTAACTAATGCAGTTATAACTAAAGGTAACTAATGAAACCTCATCATAAAGTGTTATTTTAACTAACTGAATATTGCTTGTTCCACAGCTTTTTTACCAAATTATTATTTTTTTCTTTACAATGAACAGATTTATGCTGACTCAAAGCAATTTGAATTGATGCATTCTGAAAATGATTCTTTAAATAAAATCAAGTAGTTAATAATGAACTATCGCCTGATGTTTTGAGTGCAGAAATCTGACCCATTTCATTGATGTATTGTATATGCCTTTCAAATACAGGCCCAAATGTTTTTTGAGTGCATAAAGAATATAAAAGCTTTGTTTTCATTACTAGACAGCCCCTGGCGTGGTTGAAGAGCGTCTGCTTCTTGAAGGACAGTGTGCTGGACAGGATGGAGAAGTCGGCCGCTCCCAGAGAGGAGAAATACGAGCGGCACAGAGATCTGTTGATCATCGAGTAGCTGAAACACAGACAGACAAACGTGTGACGATCCGGATCCTACTCGTGTCTCGTCTTCATGAGCTGAACATGTGTTTGTGTTTTCAGACGTACTTGTAATAGATGAGCACTTCAGCGGGATACTGAGAGAAGGCAGAGAGATCGGCGCTCTTGATGTAGTGATGCATGCAGGTCAGCTGAGGGACAATCACACATCAACACATCTCATCTCATCGTCATATGTGTGGCAACTACTGAATAAACCATTAAACTCACTATATTTTACGATATAAATAAGCCTATTAAATCTGATGCATGAAGGCTTTTAAATGATCAACGTAATCAAACTTTGCTGTTAAACCTGTTTCACTCAATCTGCTCCACACCTTCTGTCGTCTGATTGAGAGTTTTATCCAATCAAAACTCTTTTAGTGTAATTGTACAAACGTCCAGCTTCAGCTCGAGCTTCACATGTCTTTCTGCTGTCAAATCTTGACTGATTTTTAGCAAGTAACCGTCAGAATAACTTTGATATTGTTAGTAATATTTCAAGATGATTTGTTTTGTGTCCTCAGTATCACTTTCCATCCTGTCCTTTGGCATAATTTCTTTAAAATTACTAAAGCCACTTCCTGAATGACATCACCCTCCAGGATATGACATCGTTTTGGAGGGAAACAGCAGCACTGACATCAGCATTATCAATGAATCTGTGACGTCTGAAAAGGTTAAACATTCTGTTTATTTTCTTGTGTAAATGATAAGGCTGAAGGGTTTGATGTTGACCAGAGCAGATTTATGAAAGTCTATTCTTTTATAAATGTTTCATGAGGTTCAGCAGAACATGAAGGAGCATCTTAATGTAAATGACAATGATTGGTTTCTAAATTAAGCAACAAAAGCCTGTGACTGATGTGCTTGTTCACCTGTGACTCCTGCAGGACGAGCATCTGATTGGCTCGCCGTCTGCAGCCGCGGATCAGACTCAGGACTTTACTAGTGCTGAAGCTCTGGATTCGTGAACAGGTGAAGCCCTGCAGCACCTGGAAGGACATGCTACACACACACACACACACACACACACAGGTTAACATGGTCAAAACTAAAACACCTCCATTTAATCTGACTGATAACTCTCTTCACTCACTCATCTGGGTTGCTGAACTGTGCAGCGACGGTTTCAAAGATCAAAACGGCCTGAGAGGAAGAGAAATTCAGCCATTTAACATATGCACTACAACACACTTGCTAACACATGCAACATGACCTTAATAACTTTATGTGCAATAAATATATATTTCAATATTTTAATGTGCGGTACATACATCTCAATATACATGTCATTAATCAAGGGAAAGCATTTGTAAACGGTATATATATATATATATATATATATACAGGTGCATCTCAATAAAGTGGGTTTTTGTTAAATGTGAGCCAAAATCATCACAATTAAAAGAACCAAAGACTTAAACTACTTCAGTCTGTGTGCACTGAATTTATGTAATACACGAGTTTCACAATTTGAGTTGAATTACTGAAATAAATGAACTTTTCCACGACATTCTAATTTATTGAGATGCACCTGTATATATATATATATAGACACCTGACACACCTGCTCGTGTTTCCATTTCTTCCGGTTGACCGTCTGCACAGCCGCGGATGACTGCGGCACATCCAGCAGGAAGATGCGCGGGATTTCCGTCGCCATGAGGTCAGGAACGTTTGTGATGATGGCGTCAGACGAGCTGTTGACAGCGATGATCTAAAGAGAGACAGAGAGAGACGTCACGAGACGAAGCTGAGCTGAACCGGAGCCGTGTGAATGTGAGCGAGAGTTACCTGGCTAACGATGGTCTGCTGGACGATCACAGGGGCGCCGATGACGTTGGTCACGAACAATTCAGATTTCATTGCCTCAAGGAAGATTTCTCCTGAGATTACTCTGAAGATTGATGATTGAACACCGATGATCAGTGAACCCAAGTTCTGCAGACTGGCTGCATGATTAATCTGCCACAGACACAGATGTGTGTTAATACATCGAAAATTATACGACAGACAGTTTCCAGGGATGCACGACATTAGATTCTTGCCGATATCCGATATGCCGATATTTTTCAAATCATTTTGGCTGATAACCAATGCCTAACCCTAACCCTAACCAATATATATTTCCTTTTGTTTTGAAACAACACCTGTGCAGAAATTACAAAAGCAAAAGAGCTGTACAAATACTAAAAATCTTTTAGAGCTCCTTGTATCTAAGATTTTATAATCCATAGTAAATATATTACATATTAATGATTAAATCTGTATATATGTATATAAATTATTTAATTTACAAATGTCATGTTTGTGATTTTTCTTGATGTAAGCTATAGCTTCTGACCTTTAAATCAAAACAGACTCATGATTTTATG